GGTGGAACAGGTGGGGGTGGCAAGAGAGCTCACTCGGCAGAGCAAAGTTATGGGTAAGGGTGTTTCAACCCCAGGGAGATCGCTGGGAAAAAACCCGGGCCCATGGGGGTCCCCAAAATGGGAGCCAAGTGATGGATGTGGTACTTGAAAAACCCCATGCATCAACATGTCGGGAAACCCAACCCGAGGAGAGGGGAGGTGGCCAGCAAGATGGATCTTGTGTTCACCCTGAGAGTTCAGACATTCATAGTCACTTATGGGGGCCCCTTGGAGCTAGCGATCTGTGGTTTGAGTTTTTACTATTAGTGATTACAAGTGGGAAGGTAACAGGAACGAAAGGGGGCAGGCCAAACTATAAAAGGGGGGCTACACAGGTATGAGAAACTTCCTGCAGGGGTTTAGTGGGACAGAGAAAAGGTAGGAAAAAAACAGTAAACGAGATGATGGAATATGTGGCCAAGTGCAAGGAGGCAGAGGAAAAATTTTGTTCCCCAAAGGGAAACGGAAATAATAGGAAGACCAAAACGGTCCTTGGGTTTACCCGAAGGTTTTAGGGAGGCAAAAATAAAGTTGCAACGGAATGGAAAAGGTACGGAGGTTTGGGCCCCGGAAAACAAGGGGTTTTGTAGAAGAGCCAGAAAAAGAGTATGCACAGATAAAAGGGGGAGGGGCCCCGCGAAGTTGAAAACGACATAGACGAAAGTCAAAAACTGACCGAAATGCTGTATAGCCCTTAGGGGAAGAAAACAGTCAAGGACCCGGTGATAAGTGAGGAAAGAAGGTGGGAATCACAAGAAACGATCAAAAGGTATGTGGGGCTAAACGAGATTTAAAGGAGTATTTACGTAGAGACGGAAGGACTCTGGGGGGGACAGACCAAAGGGGGCACCAGCAAGGGAAAACACCCAAAAAGTGTTGGGCGACATACATACAGATGAGGAGGAGGTGAAAAAAATGTAATGGACACGTACCCCAAAGGCAAGGGACCAGACAACTCTCCCGTGGGGCCCTTTGGAGGGAGCAGATATGTTGTGCGTGCACTTACCCCCAATTTCAAAACATCCCCGGAAATGGGCAACTACCCGGGTATGGAAAAACGGCAAAATGGTTCCCTTTTTTAAAAAAAGGGGACAGAAAAAAGGCCTAAACTATAGACCTGTGTCCCTTGACGTGTATAGTATGCAAAAATTTTGGAAGATTATCAGGAGGGAGTGGTGGAGCACCTGGAAGGAAAAGGGGGTTTTAAAAAGCCAACCACACGGATTCAGGAAGGCAAATCCCGTGTCACAAACCTTTGGAGTTTTATGATAAAATAAACAGAAGTAAGACAAGAGAGAGAGGGGTGGGGTTTATTGCTTTTTCTTGGACGCAAGAAGGCCTTTGACGTTCCCCACAAGAGATTAGGCAGAAACTAAGCATCAGGCGCATATATCAGAAGGGCACTGCAATGGATCAGAGAATACCTGACAGGGAGGCAACAAACGAGTCATTTTTTACGAAATTGATGTATCACAGTGGGCCCCTGTGGGGGGCGGGGGCCCAAGGGGTCGGCCCTGGACCAGTGCTTTTTTTGGTATATGTAAAAAGGGGGGACATAAAGGGGAAGGGGTTTTTAAAGACTAAAGAAGTGCCCTTTGTTTGCGATGATGTGATTTTAATGAGGAGAATTAAATCTGAATGAGGCCGGGCCCGTACTTCAAAGAAAACCTGGACGGGACGGGGCCCACCTGGCCCAGCAAATGGCTTCTCGAATGTAATCCTAAAAATTTGAAAAGTCATGAAGATTGGGGAAAAAGGGACAGAAGACCCGGGACAGAGTTTGGGGTAGGGGGCCAAAAAGACGAAAAACCTCCTCAAGGAGAAAGTCTTGGGGTGAGTAAAAACACCGGCTTTGTCCCCGGGAAAACTCAATAGATAATGCTGCAGCATTTGGGCGCCTGGCAAACCTGAAAAAACCCGCATTCCAAACCCTTTTGAAAAGGAATCTTTTAAAGGGGAACACTGAAACCCCGGGTTGTATGTCAGGCCCATACTGGGTTTAGAGACCTTTTTGGAAAACCCCCTTGTTTAAAGAAAGTCAAGAAACTAGGGGAAAGTAAAAAAGGTTTTGCGACAAGGTTAGTTCCAGAGTTTAAGGGAATGTCCTAGAAGAAAGTTTTAAAGGGAAAATCGGCCTGACCACACTGGAGGCCCGGGAGGGTCGGGGAGACATGATAACGAAATAAAAAATTACTGCGGGGGAATAGACAAGGTGGAAAAAAGAAAGGTTTTTCCCAAGGAAGGGGCCCACAGAAACAAGGGGCCCACAATTGGAAGTTGAAGACAAAAATGAGTCAGAGAGATAGTAAAAAGTATTTTCTTCAGTCTTTAGATTTGTAAGGCATTTGGAAAATTCCCTTAGAAAATGCTTTAGGGGGAGGGGGAAAACCTTACACATTTTTAAAGGGCCCGAGGTTTGAAAAGTCATGGAGCGGGGAGAGAGGGAGGGGGGCCTTAGTGCAACGGTGAAGAGGGGGGGCCCCCCAAGGGCTAGGACTGCCCCCTCCCAAACCAAAAATAGGTTTTTTCAAATAGGTAAATTTCACGGGGCCTATAAAAAGGCCCTAGTGTTAATCGCATGTCCCTGGGGACAAAATGGTAACTAAAACCACAAACTTTACACAACACAAAAAACCCTGGTGGATTTTTCAAGCCCCTTGATAAAAGACTTCCTTTTCCCTAAACCCTCCAACTTCTTATAGGATGACCCCTACCCCTTCCTTCCCCCCCACTTTTTAGTTTGGGATACACCCTGCATGTCATACTTATTTTTCTCAGTCCTCATTATACAGTGTCATTTTCCTGGTTATCTTGAAATTTGCCTTATTGTCTTCTTGAAGGAAAAGTCGGCCGACTTTACACCCAGATCCTTCAAAAGTTCCTTTCATTCTAATTGGTGATCTTGTGTTTTAAACAGTGCTCCTTTTCTTAATTCAGGTTTTCCTTATCTAAGCATTTGGAACTTCACACCATTGAAAGTTATTTTCCGTTGCCCAGTGAATGGCTGATTATTTCTTGAAATTCTTCCATGTCTTCTACTGAGGTGCTTTCATGCATACAGTACAGCAGACGACCATAATTCACACACTTTACATTTATGAAAACTGCTAATAATGATTTCCATGACTTATGGACTGAAAGAATTCTGGAAAAAATAGGGTTGCATTCTTCAGACCTTTGAGAGACCTATAATTTTTTTGCATTTTCCACTCTGTGTTCAGCAATCCAGTAAAACAATCATATTGGTCTCAAAAATTTTATTCATATTTTATTCACTGCCAGTGATGAACCTTCTGTGATTAATGGTTCAATTCTACTGGTAGTTTTTAACTAGAATTTTGTATGTGCAAATATTTGTAGTTTCTTGCAATATCCTTGACAGTTTCTTGTTCCTCTTGTGCTTGTGTCTCCATCCATTGCCTTTGATCTTACATGCTGACAGATATCATAGCCCTACATCTTAAAACTTCTCCATAGCTCTCTAAATTTTATATTTCAAACCACTAAACTATCTTCTAAATTCTTAGACTCCATAGTCTGGAAAATATTCATGCCACACTTTTTTTTAACATGCTGGCTGTCTCCCACCGAGGCAGGGTGACCCAAAAAAGAAACTTGCTATCATTCACATTATCACTGTCTTGCTAGAGGCATGCAGATATGACAGTTTAAATGTCACTCTAAACAGTAAATATCCCAAACCCCTTTCTTTAATCCTCTGACTGTCGCAAGCCCCTTTCTGAAACTATGTCGCAAAAATTTTTGGGAAAAAAATTTCTTAAGAAATGATAGAGAATCTTTTCCTGATAGTAATGACACCAAAAGTACGAAATTTGGTCGAAAACTCAGAATTACGCTCCCGCAAAGTTAGCGGTCTCGGTGATATATACGCATCGGCGATTTCACCGACTTAGCCCTGTTTTTGGGTAATTCTGTTGTTCCAGTTGACCAAGGTCATAGCTAATTCTTTAGAACTCCATTTTCTCTATCAGTTGAGTTCAAGAAACTGCCCATTTACTGATATGAACTACCCAATAAAGTGATCAGAAATTGGCAATTTGGCCAATTTCATGCAAATTAAAAAAAAGACTCCCATATCAAAATAGTGCAGAATAGACAATGTAGACATTCTTGCACTAAAATAACATCCTCTGTTCATTAGTCACATTTGTAGGACCCTCTTATATTACTATTTTTTATATTTTGATTTTTTATTAAAAATAAATAAATTTACTGTTATGCAGTTTAATACATTTTTGTAAAAATGGTATAAATAATATCAGTGCACTAGTGAAAGAATATTAGACTCCCGAGTTGACGTGTATTGGATGTGTGGTGTGATTTGCTTACTCCCGAACATTGGTAAATAAATCGAACACTTCCACTACTTTGAGCTCAATTTCAAGGTCGTTTTCATCAAAACTAATCAACATCATCTCTATTTCCGTAATATGTTTTTCATTTTATCACGCAAGACCATGAAAGTGAGAACACAATGATAAATACCATAAGAAAATACACCTCAAAGTCGGTGTTTTAATAAAAAAAAGTCAGTTTTTTTTCTCATTATGCACTGCGTGCTGCAAGATTTTTTTGAGGTGCACACTGACCACAGAGACCCATTCTCTCACATGTGGGCCTACCAGCTTTCTCGATTTGAAGCCGCTAGAATTTGTGTGTATTAATATGTCTGAAACAGTGGCGTGTAAGACATACATGTATATATACGACCAAAACAGTCAAAGTGCAGGTGTTGCATGTCCTGCCTCCAGGACTCGAGTCCAGTTAACAGGTTTCCATGAATCTGTTCACAAAACACTGACTTCATATATGGAATCTTCACTATCTCTAGCCTCCTACTTACTGAAACATTGAAAGATCATACTTCAACCCCCCTTCCCCACCACCCACACAAATGTAGGCAGTATACTGTACTTTTGTCAACAGATTATGATACTTACCTATGTGAATATTTCGAAGGTAACTTTGCAAGCTCCTCCGCAAGTCCTCTTGATATGGCTTTCTATACACTTCTTTTTCCCTCGGCAAATTTTTCCCAGCTTACCCCAGTTACAAAACCATTACCTATAAAAAAATATCTAAATTTAAATAATAAGAAAGCATTTAGTGATTTGGGTAGACAGAAACCACCCGGGGGTATCCCATCCTTGGTAGTGGGGTTGGTAACGCCCCCACCCAGGGGGTACTGCCACCGTGGTAGAGGTGGTAGACGAAACCCCACCCGGGAGGTACTACCACCGGGGTAGTGGGTTTGGTGGGCAAAAAACCACCCAGGAGGTATCCCATCCTGGGGTGTAGGTTTGACAGAAACCCCCACCCAGGGGGGGTACTGCCATCCTGTGGAGTGGGTTTGGTAGACGGGAACCACCCGGGGAGGTACTACCATCCTGTGGTTAGGTTGGTAGACGAAACCACCCAGGGGGTACTGCCATCCTGTGGTAGTAGGTTGGTAGACAGCAACCCCCCAGGGAGGACTACCGTCCTGCCAAGTAGTGTAAAAGCGAAAGCCTGAAATTGTTTTACATGATGGTGGGATTGTGGTGTTTTTTGCTGTCTATAAATATGAAAAGATTACAGGTACGTTTTGCTACTTCTTTTACACTTAGGTCACACTACAATAATGTACACGTTTATTTATACAAAAACCTCTGGTTTTCTTTGATTTTATCTTAATAGTTTTTGGTCTTTTACTTTCCTTTTATATCCAGGGAAGTGGAATAAGAATCTTTCCCCCGAACCCTGCGTTTTTGAAAAAGTAAACTAAAATCCCGGGGGAACAATGGGCAAAAACCCCCTTTTTGTAAAGATTCAAAAAGAATAAAAAGAAGAAAATTGTCAAAGTGGGAATCGAATGTGGGGATGTTGTGAAATGAAAGAAAAAGATGTTTGTGGATGTTTGAATGAGAAGAAACGGGAGTCCGGGTTTTTAAGTAAAAAAAAAGCTGAAGGGGGTGGGAGAGGTTTTCAATGGAGAGGAATAAAGGGGATTAGGTCGGGGTTTCAAATAGAGTTAGAGCTAAAAAAGGAGTAGCAAAATTTGGGGATAAGTATTTGGCAGGAAAGAGGGATACAAATGTATAAATTAAAGGGATTATGTGGAGTAAAATAAAGTTTGGTTTGGGAAAAGTGGGTTATAGTAAGCGTGTATGCCCTGGAGAAGAGAAAAAGTGTAGAGGAGAGAGAAGATTTGGGGAAATGTTGAGTGAATGGTGGGGGTTTTTGAATCAAGTGTGAGAGTAATGGTGGTTGGGGTTTCAATAAAGGGGGTAAAAATTTAGGGAGGGATTTAAGTAAATTTTGGGGTGCCGGGGGGTAAATGTAAATGGGGACCCTTTTAATTGAGCTGGGTGTAAAAGAAATTGGTAAAAAGTAATACTTTTTTAGAAAAAGAATAAATAAATATCCAAGGATGATGTAGCACGAATGAAAGTAGTTTGTAGATTATGTATTTGGGGGATAAAAAAGGTTTATGGGAAGGCTCCCGGATGTAATGTTTTTAAAGGGGGAACTGAATATCGGGGTCATTATTTAGTTGTAGCTACAGTTAGAGTAAGAGGTAGATGGGGAAAAAAGGGAAGGGGCAAAACAATAAAAAGGGAGGTGAAAGGTATAAACTAAGGGGGGAGGAAGTTCAGGCGAGATATAAGCGAAAATTTGGGAGAAAGGTGGGCTAGTGCAAAGAGAGTATTGGGGGGTTGAAGAGGGTTGGAATAGTTTTAAAAAAAGCAGTATTAGAAAGTGGGGCAGAAGTTTGTGGTTATGGAGGGTGGGGGGGGGGAGGAAAGAGGAGTGATTGGGGGGAATAGAAGTAAAGGGGTGATAAAAGAAAAAAGGTAGCTTTCGAGAGGTTTTTTCAAAGCAAAAAGTGTTATAAGAAGAGCAGATAATGGAGAGTAAAAGAAAGGTGAAAAGAGTGGGGGGGAGGCAAAGGAGAGCGATGAAAAAGTGGGGGGGAGGCATGTCAAGAAATTTTAAGAAAATAAGGGAAAAAAATTTTTAGTTAAAAGTTAAGAAAGCCTAGGGAAATATGGATTTGCCTTTTTTAAAAAAGAGTGGGGGGAGTTTTGTAGATGGGGAGATGGGGGATTAGGTGATGGCGAGAATATTTTGAGGAACTTTTAATGTTGAGGGGAAAAAAGGGAGGCGGTAATTTCAGCACTGGCCCGGGAGGGATACCATCTTTTAGGGTGAAAGAGCAAATGTAATGTGGGTGGGGTCGTAGGGTTACGAGAATGAAAAAGGGGTTTTAAACACTGGAACTGATGGGATCATGACAGAAATGTTAAAAGGGGGGGGTTAGTGTTGGAGTGGTTGGGACTTTTGTTTTAAAAAAATTTGAAAAGAGGGGAAGGTACCTAGGGTTGGCAGAGAGGCCATGTATGTCCCCTTTTAAAAAAAGGGAAAAAGGGACAAAAAGATTGTAAAAATTTAGAGGAATAAGTTTATGATATACCGGGAAAAATATACGAAGAGTTATAAATTTAAAGAATTAGGGTAAGACAGAATGTAAATTGCGGATGACAAAGGGGGCTTCAGAGTGGGGGAGGGGAGGTGTCAAGTGTTTCATTGAAGCATAAGTGAACAGATTTAGATAAAAGGGAGGGAAATTTTTATTTCATTTTTTGGATTTTAAAAAGGGGGCCCCTAGATAGAGTGGATAGGGAGCAATTTGGCAGTTTAAGTATATGGAAAGGGGGTAGTTACAAAAAACTTAAAAGGGTTTTATGGGTAGTAGGCCAGGTAGGGTTTTTGTAGAAGAGGGGAGAAACTTCCCGGTAAAAGTAGGGCTTTGACAGGGTGGGGATGTCACCTGGTTGTTTAAAATTTTTTATGTGGGGTTTAAAAGAAGAAATGCTAGGGTGGGTTTGGGGGAGGGGTGGGATTAAATTAGGGGAATCAAAATTTAAAAAGGGAAATTTACACATTATTTTTTCTGATGATACTGTGCTTAGGGAGATTCTAAAAAAAATTTCAAAGGGTTTGGGATGAGTTTTTAGAATTGTGTAAAAGGTAGAAAATTGAAAGTGAACTAGAAAAGGAGTAAGGTGAAAGGGGTATCAAATATTTGTAAAGAAAAATTGGGGTATCAAATTTGGGGGGGAGTATGGAAGAAGTGAATGTTTTTAGATACTTGGGAGTTGACGTGTCGGCGGATGGATTTATGAAGGATGAGGTTAATCATAGAATTGATGAGGGAAAAAAGGTGAGTGGTGCGTTGAGGTATATGTGGAGTCAAAAAACGTTAATCTATGGAGGCAAAAGAAGGGAATGTATGAAAGTATAGTAGTACCAACACTCTTATATGGATGTGAAGCTTGGGTGGTAAATGCAGCAGCGAGGAGACGGTATGGAGGCAGTGGAGATGTCCTGTCTAAGGGCAATGTGTGGTGTAAATATTATGCAGAAAATTCGGAGTGTGGAAATTAGGAGAAGGTGTGGAGTTAATAAAAGCATTAGTCAGAAGGCAGAGAGGGGTTGTTGAGGTGGTTTGGTCATTTAGAGAGAATGGATCAAAGTAGAATGACATGGAAAGCATATAAATCTATAGGGGAAGGAAAGAGGGGTAGGGGTCGTCCTCGAAAGGGTTGGAAAGAGGGGTAAAGGAGGTTTTGTAGGGCGAGGGGCTTGGACTTCCAGCAAGCGTGCATGAGCGTGTTAGATAGGAGTGAATGGAGACGAATGATACTTGGGACCTGACGATCTGTTGGAGTGTGAGCAGGGTAATATTTAGTGAAGGGATTCAGGGAAACCGGTTTTTTCATATAGTCGGACTTGAGTCCTGGAAATGGGAAGTATATGCCTGCACTTTAAAGGAGGGGTTTGGGATATTGGCAGTTTTGGAGGATATGTTGTGTATCTTTATATGTATATGCTTCTAAACTGTTGTGTTCTGAGCACCTCTGCAAAAGCAGTGATAATGTGTGAGTGTGGTGAAAGTGTTGAATGATGATGAAAGTATTTTCTTTTTGGGGATTTTCTTTCTTTTTTTTGGGTCACCCTGCCTCGGTGGGAGACGGCCGACTTGTTAAAAAAAAAAAAAAAAAAGCATACAAATAGTATACATAAGAACATAAGAACATAAGAACGAAGGAACACTGCAGAAGGCCTTCTGGCCCAATGCGAGCAAGGCAGTTCCAAGTCTCCTACCGGCTTAAGCCAATGACCCAACCTAGTCAGGTCAGGTCACATTGACTTAAGGGAGGAAACACGGCAACCGACCTGTTAGGCACTAGCTATCTGGTCTAAATCAACCCACCCACATCTACTCATGTATTTATCCAACCTATTTTTAAAGCTATTACAACGTTTCTGGCCTCTATATCGGTACTTGGGAGTTTGTACCATCATCCACAAACTCTATTACCAAACCAGTACTTTCCTTATCCTTCCTGAATCTGATTTTTCCAACTTAAAAAATTGCTGCGGAGTCCTGTCTAGGCTAGATATTTCAGCACCACTATTTACATCCCTTTATTTATTCTGTCTTCCATATACACCCAAATCATATACCCCTAATTTACGTCTTTCTAGAGGAGTGAGTTTCAGGGGCCCTTAGTCTATCCTCATAGGGAAGGTTTCTGATACATGGGATCATCTTTGTCATCCTCCTTTGTAACATTTTCCAGAGAATTTATATCCATTCTTAATACGGTGACCAAAATCTGTGCAGCATTAATCTAAATTAGGCCTAACCAAGGATGTTTAGAGTTGAAGAAACAACCTGAGGACCCTATTATTTATGCTTCTTGATATGAAGCCAAGGGATTCATTTCAGCTTTATGCGAACACTTATGCACTGTTGTCTTGGTTTCAGATTTTACTGTAACCAGTACTCCTAAATCTTTTTCGCAATCCGTCAATAATAGATCACATTATTAGTTTATATGTGGCATGGTTAATGTTCCTGTCCAAAACATTTAAGAACTTTGCATTTGTCTATATTTAAACTGCATCTGCCACTTTCCGACCACTGATCAG